CCCCAAAACCCCAAAACCCCAAAACCCCAAAACCCCAATTCTCTTCTCTAAAATTGAAAATTTTTCTAAAAATCTACTTTAATATTGTCTTTGAATTCTTGATTGTCTTTGGCCAAGTCGAGTACGATCACATTTGTTTTGATGATAGTTGGTTTAACCTTCTCCCCTTCTCCTTCACTCTTCTCTCCCTCTCCTTCATCAATTTTTCCTTCATCTACAAAATCCAATCACCTCAGCCCCAAATCCCCCTCAAAATCCCAAATCCCCTCCCAAAAGCTCCTCTTCTCCCAGTAAAAATCCCTAAATCCCACTAAAAACTCCCTAAAATCCTTTATAGGGGTTAACGATTTTCTAAGAAAAATCCCTGCTTCCCAGAATCTCTGTTCTGAACAAGAAGGATTTCAAACAAATTTCAGGCGCTCAACGGCAGAAATAATGCAGCGTGGCTGAGGATAGTGCCAAATAATAGAAGTTATGCTATGTGTTGGTATTAAGGATGCTGTAAAGAGAGATTAGAGTGAACTGGTGCTGTTTTGGGATATTGAGAGGTGGTTAAGGATATTTATAGTGGGAGTTATGTAGACTTTGGTGTTGATCTTTGAGTGAAAGTGTACTTAATTGTGGGGTTTTGGATGAAGTATAGGATTATTGGGAGGTTTATGAGGTTTAGTGGGGAAATTAGTATTAATTGATCATTTATTGCGAAAAATTCTTTGCTAACCTACATTTGTGTAAGATTGGAGATTCAAGATATGATTTAGACAGCAGAGGGTTAGTTATAAATACTCTTTATGGGATTCTCCCTTTTATTGGCTAACCCTTACGCTTATATGATAACAAATTCTTTACAAAAATAAATTTCGAAGAGGTGAACAATTCATAATTTTAATATAGACTGCTCCTCAACAGGGGTGCTAAGTTCACCCTAATTGAGCGTTATTGTATCCAAGAACATACTCATTCTCTCTGATTTCAGGTTAGAAAAGATAAAAGTTGCTGCTACATGAGGTAAACATATTTCTAGACTAGTGGAGAGCTGTAGCATACCAGAAGCACGGTCATTTAAGTTTAATTAATCGATCCTAATTCGAGATTTCTGTAATATCAGCCATTGAAAAACATTTATTGGTTAACCCTGAGATTTCCAGAGTCATATTTCTTATCAACGAGTTTACTAAGTTTAAATTTAAGCAGGCTTTTTAAATCTCTGCATGTTTTCATGAAAGGATTTGAGGAAAATGAGGAATTTACAAAGATAACAATAAATTTGTTACGATATCTACTTCAAATTGGCTTCTCAATGTTAGATTAAACTCATAAAGCTTGAATATTAAAGTGCTGATGCTGATTAAAAGAGCCTCCTCATCAATTAATTCCTAATCTAAAACCTAACCGGAGAGGTAATCTTCCAAGATGCACTCAGGAGGTACATCTTCCGATTCTTTGCATAAAGCACTTCTCCCATTTACTTACCATTTTTATTGTTGTATAAATCGCTGAGCAGCGATGATGTCATAAATGTAAGGAAATGGCCAAGTAAGGTATTTGATTTGTCATCTAAGCACTGAGCAACTACTGCTTTGCTTATCTCATGTATCTCAGGGCTTATCACCCCAGAAATAGCATCATTAGAAGGCTTATCCTCATTAGTTGCTGCAGTCTCCTCTGTCTCATCGGGTGTTTTACTTTCTTCTTTAGGAGACATACCTCTTGTGTTCTTCTGCATTCCTGAAGGTACTGGTGATGGCCCTGATACCATTAAGGCTCCTTCATTAACTTCACTGTTCTTGATCACCTCCTTCTTCACACAAACCGATGCAGAGTAGGGAGGTATCAATGTTTCCATCTCATATGAATAATCCGACATCCCAATCATATTAATCTTCCCTGCATTTTTCGATCCTTTCCTTATAACTCATCATTAAGCCCTTAAAGCAACCCCTTTGCTCAAATCCACTTACTTAACATTAAACTTAATCATCGTATTCCTGGTCACTTTCTTCTTCTCTTCTTCTGTCTGTGTCATCCCTTGAAGAAATTTCTCAGCTTCTGTATATATCTCACTAGCGCAGCCCCAAGTGACCATCCTGAAGGTCTCGCCTGTCTCGATGCGTTGAAGCACGTTGGCAGGGACTCCACGGTAGACTGATCTGTCTTCAGTGTTGGCATCTGAACCTTGATCAGCGATATAAGTGCTCAACATTCTCATGTATTTAATACTTTTATCAATAACTTCTTTGTAATTTTTACCACATTTGGCCAATACACTCTCATAAAACTGTGCGCCCTTAAAGACCTCTTCTCCAAAAGTAGCCACCGCATCAAGGGCAAGGCCTGCATTCAGTGTCTTCGTGAACTCACTATAAACCCGTTTAGCCTGGCTGAGCGATTAAATATTTAGACCCACAAAATCCAGCATTTTCAGAATTTATTCGTGAACAAAGATCTTTGCGTAAAAATTAGGAATGGAATATCCATTGGCAGTGTTTTAGGAATGGAGGAAAAGAGAATAGGGTACGTACTCGCTTGAAGTCCAGAGCTTAGTGACCACCATACAATCTTCAGCGGGGTCATTTGGTGTATAAGCTGAAGAAATTTTATTGGTAATTTCGGTATCATGGTGGAATAAGTCCTTAAGATCTTTCATTGCCTCTTCTAACTTAGGCATCCTCTCAGTTCTATTAAACGCTTCTAAACCATTAAAGTAAAATATTTACCAAAATAGTATGACTTAGTGAAATTCTCTTGGAAAACCTCTTCAGTAACAACAGAGCTTTGGAGTTGAGCTTCCTTCTTCACTTCAGGTAGCTCCTCAAATGGTAAATCTTCTGATTCATACTCTGACATTTCTGACACTTCAGATTCTTGGTATTGATAAATCATCTCTTCTTCCTCTTCTTCTTCTTCTTCCTCTTCTTCCTCAGTTATATCCGGATGTAGTTCATCAAAAGTCTTATATCACTCATAGTACACACCGTGCTTTATAGGCACACATCCATACTTCTGCTGTACCCTCTGGCTGAGTTCCTCCCTACAAGCACGCAGGGGCTTCTCACAGAGCTTACACTTATTGGTCCTGAAGGCGCTCCAATGGGTGAAGGAGTAAGGAAGGGCAAGGTGGACTCTGGGACGTTCACATGAGTGGCTAATAGAGTAGATACGAGGATTGTAGGGGAGAAGTGGATCGAAAGGGGATCTGTACATGGGAAATTTAATTTGGAGGAATAAAATTGAGGGAGAGAGGGGTTTTGGGGTTTTGGGGTTTTGGGG